CCCCCCCAGTGTCTCAAGGATGAAGCACAAAGTCCTCTTGAAGGGTGTGTGTGTGTGTGTGTGTGTCACTGGTGACTGCTGGGGATAGAGGGAAGGTCACAGGGACCCTTCTCCATCTCACCTCATCTGGATTCTCTCCACCAGCTGCTGTATTTTTTAAAGCACTGGAGAGACCTTGGACTCCTCTGTGAAACTCCCCAGGGCCCAGAACAGATATCTCTTAGCTAAATACCCCGGTCACAGGCAGTTCTAACTGAGCTGCCCACAGATAAAGTGATTGATCCTTATACTAATCAATAGAGAATTTGTTCTGAGCAATTAATAACTTTGCCAAGCTTGTTTTGTTTGGATAAAAAAGTGTCCAGATTGCTGACTGCAGGAGTGAAATTAGGGAAAAAATATCCTGTTGCCCACATAAAAATACAAATGTAAATAGTTAGCTCTTTATTTACATACCTGCAAAGTCTTCAGCTTTCATAACAAGAAATTCAGCTGGGATGTCTGGGATATGTCTTCTGCATCCCCAGGGAAAGCTGCACGTGGGACCTGAGCTTGCACTTCTATATATTTGGTTATAAACCTGTACGAGAGGTGCGAGTTCGCTGCTGCTCCTGCCCGGTCATTGACAGCAAACCTCCGGGCAATGTATGGCTCAGCCCCAGCCCGATGCTGGGGGACATGGGACCTGCCTAGTGTCAGTGCTCTGCAGTCCACCGGATGCAGATGTCCCCAGTGACAGTGACATGCCCTCTCTCAGACTGTATTTTAAACCATGCAGTTACTATTTTATTAATAAAACCATTTTGTTTTCGTTACTGAAAGCAAACCTTTTTGGAGGGCTTTTTGGCACCTGATGACTGTGTCCGGCCATCCCCTAGAACTGCTGAAAGCCAACTGTCAGGCCCTGGGAAGGAGAGTAAAGCGGTCAACATGGATTTCCACAGCAAACCCACATGGTCTTGTTTCACTCAATTGTGGAAATTGTCTTTATTGGTGAGTAAAAACAAGCTGGGAGGTTTTATCGGAAGGTATGTTTCAGAGGCAGGGGATGCTTTTTAGGTATTTATTTGTTTGCACTTTCATTGGGAAATGTTGCTTCAGGAAAAAAAAGTGGAAGAGAAGAGGTCAGCATATCTTTTCTGTGTGGGTTTGTTCTCTCTTCCTTCAACAGCCCTGATAATTTTGATGGTTTTGTTGGAGAAGGCTGGACTCTCAAACCATGAGGATATGTTGGGAAGAGCTACTGTACCCCTTCCAGCTCTAGGGAGAGAATAAATAACATTGAGTCAGTGACAAGCTGCTGCTCAGTCCTCCACCTGTGGTCTGGTGCCCTCCCCATCTCCTCCTCCTTCAGGAGTTCTGTGGGACAGCAGATGTCCACTTCCCCCATCCATCCCTGTCGCCCTCCCTCCCAGCACCCAATACACTGCCCATCTGGAAGATGCAGGAGTGGAAAACCCTTCTCCTAAAATATCCTGCTCAGAGTCTCTTGGGGAGGTGGGTGTGCAAGGTAGACAATCTGGACTCCGGTTTGGAGGGGTTGGAATGGGCTCCACCTTGTTACAGGACGGTTATTTCCAAGTATCCACAGTCACAGCCTCAACTTCTTTTGTGCAGAGTCCACCGGCACCTCTTTGTGCCCCTGGCTCTGGACAGGACTGTGAGTCACCAGCCTCCGTGTGCCCCAGAGGAGGAGAAAGGGCTTTTCTCATTTCAAGGCTTAGCCATCTTCTCAGCAGTCTCTTCCAGCTGCCGAGGGTAGCGGAGCTGCCTGCCGTCCTTCCTGCTCGTTGCTCAGAGGGTAAGGTGACAACCCTTGGCTACTGCTGGTGATGATTTTGAGCTGGTTCAGGCTACCTTGGCTCTGTTAATAACTCCCTTCCAGCATTTTCCACGCACGATTCTGGTGCTTCCCAGGAAGCAACGTCTGGAGGCTGGGTTGAAACTTTCGGGGCATGGGACTGGCACGACATGCAGGATGGGCTTGTACTCCTGTGGGCGTTTCTGAGCCAGCCTGTGCTGCTTTGGTCTGTCCAGAGGCTGGTCTGATGGTGCACAGAGGGGGAGCCTTGGGTATGGCCAAGAGGGCCTGGAGACATGTAGGCTGCTGTCATGCGACCACGGGCTCCAGGGAGACCCCTTCTCAGGAGCTGAGCTTTGGGCTGTGGTCACTGGAGAGTGTGGGTATCTGTGCCAGTTAGGACAAGATCCAGAGTCTGGGCTGGCTGCACAAACTGGGGCAGACCTGAGCCCAAGCATTCCCGAGAGGTCGCTAAATCTGGAGACAAATCTTCTCTTGCCAATCAAAAGGAAACACTAAGGGTTGGTGCCTAGGCCTGATCAGGTAGGGTGAAATAAACCCAAGATTTCCCTGGCTGAAGGAATATATTTCCACTTTTCATACACACATGCCCACTTCTTTTCACAAGGAAGGAATTAAAAATGACCAGAAAGACCTTCTACCCCAGGCAGGATGAGAATTTGGAGAAGGTGCTCTTTTAGCACCACGTGTTGGGAGACATCAGGTTTCGGTGAAAAGCAGGAACAGTTTCTGTGAAGTCTGGACTGAATTGTCCATTGTTCCAGCCTGGTTTTTATAATGAATAAAAAAGACAACCTGTTCACTGCCTGAGCCTTTGATGCTGGGGCCAGTGACGGAGGAGTTGGGAGAAGGGACGGGGGAGCAGCCGCTTTAACAACCCCCACACGTGGCCAGTCGGGTGACCGGTGTGTTTGAGGAGCCAGGAGAAGACTATCTCTGCCAGCAGAGCTGTGGCGTGTACACACCTGGGATTAACAGATGGCCGCGGGTTGTCCTTGCGGATTTGAGCACACAGCACAATCTGGCAGCAGCAAAGCCCGCTCTCCGGGATGGGGGTTCGCTCTGGTTCTTGGCCATAGTGTCTTGGCTGGTTGGAAGAGGGGAGGGAAAAACATGAAGCCTATGGAGAGGTAGGTGTGAATTGCCCGTTTCATCCAGTTTGATTTGGAAGTGGGTATCCAACCTTTTTTTTTCTTATTT